CAAGGGAGTAGAAGAAATCCAATATAAGAGTATCACTGCAAATGTGAGAGACTTGTCAGGTCTGTGCTCCTGTCTCTAAAAGAGCTGGTGTGAGACTGCATGTTACTGACAGATTTATTTTAGAAATGTTTTATATCCTGCTTTTTAAAGTGAAAAATAAAGCAAAAGCAGTACACTAAGCAATTGCAGTTTGGTTCTAGTAAGTAAAATAAATATGCAGTACTGCAATACTGAATCCTTGCATTTCAAGAAAGAAATTGTTTTATTGAATCAAGACAGTGGTCCATCTAGTCCAGTACATCATCATCAAATACTGGACCTTAACATAACAACAGAGGAAAGAAAYAGTCCACAGAGAGAGAGGCTAGCACACAACCAAGACTAAAAATGTAACTGTCTTAAAAGTGTTTGATATTTACTGACTTGTTTATTAATATTTTGCTGTTTATACAACCAGCTAGGTTTATTGAACTGTGATTGTTCATTATTTACTTGTGATGTTTGCCAACCTAGAGCACCTTTTTCAGCATTGGCTTCAATTTGTGATACAGGCATAGAAGATTACCAAACACCCAGGAGCCAAAAAAAGCTATGTGTGCTTTCACCTGAGTGCTACCCTGTATTGTGGCTTTCCCCTCGGCATTGTTAAAGGGATGCTCACAGTTGAGGCGGCTGTACATAATGCTGTCCTGGTGCCAAGAGACCTGTGTTCAAGTTTCATATTACAAGATCAGCAAGATGTGAAGTGAAGCAACTAGAAAATTTGAGCTATTAACATAGTATAGATTAGGATGCTTGATGAGCTTCAAAGATGAGGGRAAAAAAATTCCAACTTTTTACACACGCAATTGTATAACCGATTCTTCCATGCCACAAAACACATTGGAGCTCCTCCTATAAGTTTTCACCTAGGGACTATGGATCAAATCAAACAAAGCATCTTCCAGTGTGACTTCAAGCTATAGCTACAGCTGCAATGAATTCTACAAATCACTGTCCTGATGTATCCAAACAGAAGAAAAAGCTAAGAAAGCTTTTTTCAGTGACTTCATTCCGTCTAACTAGTGTCATGCCATAACTAGCAGTTATGCTAACTACTATAATTAGTAAAGCACAAGGTCTTTACTTTCTCTTTTCTATCTCCAAAGTGTTTTTCAAAACACATGATATGAAGGAAGCTATATGAAAATGCCTTGAATTGTTTACCTAAAAAATGTGACAGTTCTGCAGTAGTAGTATGAAAAAGTACATTAGGTGGATATTATTATTTTGTCATCTCTTTTGATAAATAACTCACTGCATATGGCAGACAAGAGTGGGTGGCTTGGGTATATAAAGAAGCAAAGCATAAACCCCACTATCTTCCCAAGTTCAACCAAGAATAAAAGGAGATAGCTCTGTAGCTGTCACAAGGAGCAATGAACAACATTACTGTTGATGTTTCCACATCCATTCCTATGTCTAGTGAGTCATACATATCTGAACCAAGTCATGATAAGTGTTTTAAGTAAATACTAACTGCTTACAAAACCAAATCACTGGGCCAAATTTCTTGTTGAAATAGCCCTAAGAGTGAGGCTGTGTTTTTAAAAAGTATTTCAAACGTGAAGGACTTCAAGTATTTCAAACAATGGACTGAGTGAAGCTGAGTATACCATGTAAATGTTTTCTTATGCTAAGGAAAAAAAAAAAGGTGCAAGGAAAATCTTTTTAAAGTACACTCCTAAAATTGGTGATCTAAGGATAATGGAGCAAATACTACAGCAGGTTTAAAGATGTCAGAGATTCAACTACTCCAAGGGAGCAACAAAAGTCTAAATCAGTTGGGGATACCCCTCATAACACATAAAAATGGCTGTGAACAGAGACAGGTCAGTATTCAGTTCTGCTGGCATAGGAGCCTTCTGGTRTACTCATCCTAACACAACTTTTGCCTCAATACCATTAAAATTCAACATTTCAAAAGGTAAATGAAAAATGGATTTTCCAATAAAAACCCATTGCTATCTGAATAACTTGGACATGCAATARAAAAATGAGAGAAAGACATTTAAATGAGATATTTAAATATAGACTGTAAATATGAGACTGAACATTAATTAATTAGATTTTTAGGGTCTTCCCTTGTTTTAGCCTCTGTATTACCATGCAGCATCTGTTTACTGCCATTTATCTTCTTTTTTGATGACATTTGACTAATAAATACACTGATGAATTGCATCTGTAAATGCCATCCATACATCACAAAAATTGGATGTATTCAGTGCTTCTGGCACACTGATTCTAAAGGATTTTGTTTTATTTGAACTTTCAGTACTTAACAAAGGAAATATTACGGCTCTACTGGATACATTTCCTGATTTTTATTTTAATTTTCAGTGAACAAACAGCTGCAGAATAATGTGACTTAATGAAGCATTTCTAATAAAATCCTGCAGAAGATAAAACAGGGGCATAGAACTGCTTGCTCACTGATAGTTGTATCATTCAGAATAATTTTTCAAGATGGTGATCACATTTCTGTGTAGATGAGTATTAGGTAATATGATTTTCTGTCTTCCAAGTCAGTGATTTCCTATAGTGAGATAACTAGTTAGCACTGTTGCATTACTTATTTATAGCAAGAAAAACATACAACATAATAAATGCAACATCTTTCTATTACATTATTTAGGCTTTACACTGGTTGGTAAGTAGCAACACAGACAGCAATAAATCTAAGTGTGAAGATGCTCAGATCTGAAAAACGTCATGGTTATATTTTGCTTACTAAAAATATAGTGCTTGCATTTGTAAAGATGTCCTTTATCAAGTCTGTCATCACCTGTGATGAAATTATGAAACTTCTTGGCTGCTACATTTTACTCTGCCAACACAATTCAGTGTAAAGTTTTATTTGCTTTATGTAAATCTAGATAGGGCTCAATGAATCATCACTTTGCAACCTGCCAGTTAAACAATCTCCAATATCCGTCTGTACACACATCTATTTACTTTCATTCAGAACAAGTTTTTCCTGTGTTCCCCGCCAGAATAATCAAGTGCACTACAAGCATCTACACATAAAGCTGAGATCCCTCAGATCATAAGAGCCAGGTAAAAAGGTTACCCCATGTGTCCAGTACAATAAAAGATACTGCCAGATTAGACATCATTCTCTGATTAAAACAGTAAGACAGAATCAATATTTTATCTCAAAGTCACCCACTACCACCAGTGTATCTAAAATTAATACCACATCTTTGAAAGACCTTTTATGTACAAAAAAATATGCAGAATCAGTGAATAGTAATAAACTTGATTTGCTGTCTCAACCAACTGAGCAAAGCTTTCCACTGAAATTACGGCACTTAGTTTACATTTCTAAGAATAACAGCACTGGCAATTGGGACTACGTGAAACAAAACCCACATGGTTTTCAATACTGCCTCAGCAGTATCAGCTCTCTGAAACAAAATATTAATAATGAAATTCATATAATTACCTTACTACTGTTAATTATACACTCACAAAACGATTTAGGCAATTCAGTATGAGATGAGAGCACAATTACTGTGAAAAAGTATAATGAAACCGGTAACCTTTGCCACCTCTGATAAAAATACCTTAGTGTGCTCTTTCCCAACTTCAGCTAAGCTATACTCCAAGTACCACTGAACTACTGTGTTTCTAGTGCCACAGAAAAGAACCTTAATTTCTCAATTTGACTTAAATTAGCCCATAAAGTAGCTTTAAAGTATTAAACATGTAGTAGACTGAATGCTRAAGTCTGAAACTAGTTGGTAAGACAGAGAAACCAGATAACAATTATCATTTAGTCAATAGCAATTTAAATGTATCCACTGTGGTGCAAAGACCCTATGACCCTGAATCCTTTATGGGGCTTTCTGAGATAGGAGTTGAGTATGTTTATTATTTAAATTGACAGTTCTGCAGGAGTCAAAGCATGGTTCTTTAAATACTGAGCCAGTGTCTACTGGGGAGAAGATTTACTTAAAAAAAATACTGATAAGCACCAAGCAAAAGCTGGAAAGAGTGAACTGTAACTACACATATAATTTAAAATGTTTTAAGCAATGATTTTAACTCCCAGTAGGAATGAAACATACAGAAGATCCATGCATGGCAACTAACAGGGCAGCGTAAGCTCTTGCTCTTTATTCTTTGGAAGGATAACCTGGTGCCAGATCCTACAGTTTTTATTAAACAGGAATAAGGCAGGTTATTTTAAAACTTTCTCTTGCTAAACTATGAATGGGATGGATAAAAACCCTCTCACTGTGGCATACAGAACCTGCAACRTATTTAGCGGGTAAATAAGCTCACTGAGATGCAAAGAAAGCAATGTGGATAGACAAGATATGTTTCATACTATATACCCAGAACTTGGTGAACACTACACATGGAAAGAAACGGAGCCATGAATCTTCCCTTCACAGCTTTTTTTTTTTTTTTTTTTTTTTTTTTTTTTTTTTTTTTTTTTTTTTTTTTTTTTTAGTGGATACATAAAGGGACTCCCCGCTCCTTTAGCCGCTCTCTGAAGACGGCCGATAAAGTAACCCCCAAGTGCCCGCAGGTCCTGCGAGTTAGCGGCCACCCTTTCCATAAAAGTTGAAAAACGGGTTGGTTCCCCTGCTCCCCGCCGCCTCCCTTTCGGCTCTCTTGAACTGTTTTTTTCAAATTAAATCAAAGACAATTAAAAAGAGAAACAAAAGCCTTGAGGATCGCCCGGCCAAAGGCTGTAGCCGGCTGCTCCAGGGGCCAAGCAGAAGGACGGCAAAGCAACACCTCTTCACACCAGCCTTCATCCAACTTTAGTGCAACGGGAGGSATGCAGCCCGCAGCAGCCGCCCGCACACTTCACGCCCGGCCCGCTGCGGCCACTCGCTCCCGCCGCCCGCGGTCTCTGCCAAGCGCCAAGGCTATTCCCCCGGCGTCCCCAGCAGCGCCCAGACAGACACACAGACAGGCAAAGACCCTGGAGAGCTCCGCTCACCTACCTGCAGTCCCGATTCTTGCTAGAAATGCCTAGCGATCGGCCGCCTCCCGTCCGGGGGGAGTTCCAGCCTTACCGCCCGGGCATCGCCGGCACACGCCCCGCGCCCCGCCAGCGCTCGGGGGCATGGAGCGGCGTCGTGCCGCGCTCTGCTCGGCTCCCCTCGGCTCGGCCGGTCTGGGGCAGCAGCCGTCCGCGCTGCCCGGCGCTGTTCCACCGCCTCTCTGGGAATATACCAGGAATCCGGCTAAGAGATGCTAGAGGAAGGATGAAGGAACTGGGAATGGAGGGAAGACTTGAAGTGTTTCTCGTGCGCGATTTCAGAGTATTTAAAAAAAATTAAAATAAGACCAAGTATGGTTGAGCTACTGGAAAAGCGGAGATGGGGAAGTCCTGCAGCCCGGTGCGGCTCCGGCCCCTATACCAGCTGCGCGTGGTCCCGATTCAGCCCCGCCGGCAGAGGAAGGAGGAGAAGAAGCCGGCGCGTCCTGCAGCAGACCCTCCGTTAGAGCATCTCTGATTGGTGTGCCTTCCACACACAGCACGACTTCCCCCTCCTGCTGCCTCCTTCTCCCTCTTGGGAAAAGTAATTGGAGAGCGAAAGCTTCCCTTCAGCAGCAGCAGCCCCCCGCGCCCAGCCTGCGAGCACCGCACCGCACCGCGGAAGGGCGCGGAGACGCCCCAGGCGCCCGGACACACAGAGGCAGTTCCAAGCGCGCCCTCCGCGGCGGGGGGGAGGGAGGAGATGGAGGGAGGTGGGGAGAGGGAGAGACGCCCTTCTCCTCCCCCGTATTTATCCGGCCACTCGCGGCTCTCCTCCCCAGCCCTTAGGAGGGAGCAGGTCCCAGCGGCYGCTGTTGTCTGACCGAGGAGCGGGGCTCAGCCGGCAGCGCCCACAGCCGCCGCCCCCGCGGCCCGCGCACACCGGGGCTGGGCCGCCTCCCTCACCCGCCCGCTCCGCAGCGCAGCTCTCCCTTCTCTCCTCTGCTCTCCCCTCCGAGCGCCGGGGCGGGGGTGCCAAGTTTACGCACAAGCACGCGTGGCCGGGGAGATCCCCGGCGGCCCCTCCTCCGCTCCCCCGGGAGCCCTCTGCCCCTGCGGCGGGAGGCTGAGGCGCCGGGCGGGGAYGGAGCCGCCGGGCTGCGCAGGGCCGGGCAGGGCGGCTGCCCCGCCGAAGGGGGTCCGCGGCAGCAGGGGCACGGGCAGCAGGGACGCGGCGGAGCCGGCGGCAGCCAAAAACTGGACTGTGTCTCCCTCCAGAGGGAGAAGGGAGTCACGCACGGCAGCGGGAAAGTCGCGCTCTCGGCCATGTTCCTCCTCCCTGGACGGTGGGGTGGCGAGCTTAGTCAGTGTGCCTGCGCTCGACAGGTGGTGAGGAAAGGTAGTAGGGGTCAGGTCCTGAAGGCCTCTTGTTTCTCTTAATACAGCTTTAAAGACGCGTGGCGGGTCGCAGTCGTCGCCACGATTATTGATTAATAGAGGGAATTTTTACTGACTGAGGATAAGTAAAAGCCAAGCTTCTTTATTTCTTTTGCTGTGTTTTGTGCCGTTCAAAAGGTGGTGTAGAGAAGTGGAGGGGCGAGAACCAAAGGTGAGAAAGAACTTTATTTGTTACAGCAATATCAAACAGTCAGAGTCTCAGTTTTGTCCTATAATTATGGTCCACTCATAGATTGAGTGGGGATGAATGCATGCAGCATTGATAAACCTGGCCATCTGGGCTTTTCATTAATTCTACAAGTATAATAATAATATAATAATATTCTGGTATAATGGCCAGTTTTAGGAAAAGAACATTTGTTAAGTCCTTAACTCTTGTCATATCTTACATGATGTTCATAACTAACTCTTGTCAGAAACAGAAGAGGAAAGCGAAACACTYCTCTTCTTGTTATTCCTTCTGCTAGAGTTTTTTCCATGTAAGTAAGCATCTATAGATTCTTTTTTTTTTTTT